ACTGTAAAATCAGGATGGTAAATACCTTACAGGGTAATCAGATTCCCTGTAAATACCTTACAGGTAATCTGGAGTACTGTGTCCAGTTTTGGGCCCCACACTACAAGAAGGATGTGGAAAAATTGGAAAGAGTCCAGCGGAGGGCAACAAAAATGATTAGGGGACTGGAACACATGATTTATGAGGAGAGGCTGAGGGAACTGGGATTGTTTAGTCTGCGGAAGAAAAGAATGAGGGAGGATTTGATAGCTGCTTTCAACTTCCTGAAAGGGGGTTCCAAAGAGGATGGCTCTAGACTGTTCTCAGTGATAGCTGATGACAGAACAAGGAGTAATGGTCTCAAGTTGCAGTGGGGGAGGTTTAGGTTGGATATTAGGAAAATCTTTTTCACTAGGAGGGTGGTGAAACACTGGAATGCGTTACTTAGGGAGGTGGTGGAATCTCCTTCCTTAGATATTTTTAAGGTCAGGCTTGACAAAGCCCTGGCTGGGATGATTTAGCTGGGGATTGGTCCTGCTTTGAGCAGAGGGTTGGACTAGATGACCTCCTGAGGTCCCTTCCAACCCTGATATTCTATGACTCAAAACATAGAGAATCCCTCTAGGCAAAACCTTAAGTTATAAAAAGACACAAAAACAGGAATACACATTCCCTCCAGCACAGCTTATTTTACAAGCCTTTAAACAAAAGAAAATCTAATGCATTTTTTAGCTAGATTACTTACTAACTTTACAGGAGTTGGAAGGCTTGCATTCCTGATCTGTTCCCAGCAAAAGCATTGCACAGACAGCCCAAACCCTTTGTTGTCCCCCGCTCCAGATTTGAAAGAATCTTGTCGCCTCATTGGCCATTTTGGGTCAGGTGCCAGCGGGGTTACCTTAGCTTCTTAACCTTTTACAGGTGAAAGGATTTTGCCTCTGGCCAGGATGGATTTTATAGCACTGTATACAGAAAGGCGGTTACCCTTTCCTTTATATTTATGACAGGCCCATAAGAAGTTTTAAGAATAGATAGGGAATTCCTTGGTTGGGAGGATCTCCAAGCCTCAGCAGCCATACCCAGTTGTGGAAAGAACAGTCTCAGACAGATTATACTTTAAGCAAATTTGAAATACTGCATTTGGTACCCAGATATGAAGGTGTTGGACATCCTATAAAAACCTAAGACTGACAGACAGCTAGATCCTTAAACATGTCCAGAAGGAGAGCGGAGGAGCTCATGCCTTTTCCTTCTACAGGAAATCAGTATTTTTCCTCTTTCTAGATCGATGCAGATATCTAGCATGCTAGAAAGCACAATTCTAACTGTTCATGCTAACTGCTGTTGTGAAAATGTAGGGCCATGGAGCATGAGGCCACATTTATGGTGTTGTTTTACTATGTAGTAGCAGGGACAGATTTTCAGCTGGAATAAGTTGGTGTAGCTCCATTGTCTTCAATATAGCTATGCTGATTTACACAAGGTGAGGATCTAGCCCTGAGTATTTTACACAAAGTTAAAATAAGCAATACAGTGGAGCTATTTATTGTGGCTAAAATAGCCGTGCCACTCTAAGAGGTAAGAGGGAACAGGAAGGCTGATCTGGAAAGATGGGGGTGGGTGGAGGGAAGGAAGTGAACACAGGTGCTAGCAAGACTGGAGATAGAAGTGGGCTATTCAATATGGCAGGGGGGAATTTTCCCCTTTACTGGAAAGATGGTGGACAGTCAGAGAAGGCCAGTCCACAGGGGATTCAGGACAAATCTAGATTTGGAAGAGTTCAGTAAAGAAAGGGGAGTCCCACGCAGGGAAGTTAAGGATGCCCCCAAAGAAGTTACTGGAAGCAAGTGTTGCAGTTCCTCAGTGAAATTCTGTTTAGTTTCTCAAGTGAATGCCTCTATATATGCCTATATATTCCTCCCAATCCATTCAGAAAGCAAAAAAAAAAAAAAATAGGGATGACGTTATTTTTGACTTTTACAAATGTTTTCATGGTTTGTTTTCTAAAAGAGAAAGATGGGGTCATTTAAGAAATCTTAAATTTTGCATATGAAATAGAAGAAGCTAAGCTAGAAAGAAGTTTTCTGATGTGCCCGGCACTTGGAGTTGAATCAGTCTTTACAAAATTAATACAATTACTATGTGGTTTTCATCTGTTAATGATGCCAAACAATTAGAGCTGCTAGAAAAACTGTTCTAGTCTAACACACAAATAAAGAATTGAAATAAATACACAAGCAAAAAACCCAATGTGGGGATTGTTAGGAGCAAAGCCATATTTAGGCCTGACAGAAGCCTGCTGTGGATTTTAAGAGTCTGTTCTGATAATGTTTAACAGCATAAGTATAAGTAGAACTATGTATGTGTAAGAAATTCCAGAGTATGTGAGAAGAAAAGAAACTAACTGAAAAAAAGCTAGAAAAGACTGGATTGAACTAACACTATATCTATACTGGTCAGGAAGGAGAATTAACATGGGAATGAGAAACTAATTCATATGTCTAAAAAAAGATAACAAAAACTTATTTCAGCTTGTGTAACAAAGGGAGGTTGAAGCTGTACTGTCCAGTGCGGAAGGTGACTGTGATGAGTTTGTCCTAATGAGCTTCCCACTTGTAAGTAATTGATCACTACTTGCTGAGTGTTTTGCCTTAATAGATATTTATTAGACCCCTCTGCTGAGTAAGTGAATCCCAATCCAACAGGGTTTTGTCACATGGCAGTATTAAATGGGCAATAAATGAAATGGCCATGTGCTGCTGTAGTGCTCTGTAGGAATTTTATGGAATGTGCTTGGATTACTGCTCTCCCTTCTTCTCTGTCCATTCCTTGTCCAGGATTTTTCTGGGCATCCTGCCAATTCCAGACATTCCTTCCTGGTAGCCTCTGCTCCAGGCTATTCAGTGGGTGCCCTCCAACTCTTGCCGTCATTCTTCTCTGGACCAACTTTAAATAGCAGCCTAATTTAAACACCTTCCATGACCACTGTCCCTCTGGGTCATGCTACCTCAACACCTATGCCCTCTCGTCTAGAATAATTGTTCATATGGCACCAAGTCCTACCCACTCCCAACTTACTTCATGAAGGCTCTTCCCACTGCCACCAAACACTGCTAAGTGAAGGAAATGAGGATGCATTCAAATCCCACTACATCAGGACTTGCAAGGTTTGGCTTAACTCCCCAGCTCTGCTACAGATTTCCAGTATTACCTTGGGCAAGTAACTTAATCTTTCTGTGCCTCAGTTGCTCATCAGGCAATATTAGCATCCCCATTTTACATTCTCCCAGCCTTTGTCTATCTTGTTTACTCAGCCTGTTAGCCCTGCAGGGCAGGGACAGTCTCCTACTGGATGATCGTTCCGGTCATGGTGCATTAAGTGTTGGTTTGTGTACCAACAGTCTAATCCACAAAGTTAATCCTTCTTTCTTTCATTTTGTACTAGATAACTGTCCATCTGTGGATGGGCCAGTTACCAAACTTTCATACCTCAGGCAAAATCATACATTTTTGGCACATTATTTTCAAATTGTGTTAGGATCTTCTGGGGAATTATGTTTTACGTATTGCTCTTCATAGAAAGTTTTAAACAGTTTCAAAACTCAGTGTGTGATAGACACGATAATAGTGTTCTAAATCTAAATGTGGAATGGCATCACAGGATATGTCCCAACATAGGGCAACATTTAAAATAAAAAAGATATTACCTCGCCCACCTTGTCTCTGCAGTATTTGGTAACATTTTCAAAAACACTTAAGTGCCTTGAGAGACCAAATCTCATTGAAAGTCCTTACTCACTTAGGAGCTTAAATCCCGAGTTACTTTTGAAAATGAGACTTTTAGGCTATAACAATTCTGTAAACTGTTTGGTAACAGTTGTGCAAGATCTACACTTGCACTTTCCAGAACAACAGTTTAACCACGGTTTTCCAGAGAGCCTTTGACAATGTTTCCCCAAACCAAACTGAACTGGGAAGGCAAAGAAAGGCTGAGCAGCAACTTCCTGGAGAGAATTCCTAAGGATTGACATTCTCAGAGATGAGCATTCACCCGTTCTGAACATTTTTAATAGATACCAAGTTTTAGAACACTCCAAAACTTTCCAACTTGCAATCTAGACCTAAATGAAGTGTAGGAAACAGGAAGAAAGGAGCAGGAAGAATGTTCACATGGAAATAATCAGGCAGAAAGGATACAGATTTTTCTTTCACACAACACTACTGTATTTGTTATTTATTAAAATAGTCCTTTCTAATGAAAGTTTTTTTCCCTTTCATCCAGAAAGTATATAATTTTTAATGTGTTGTGGAAAAAAGGATTAGTTGATATACATAGAATAAGAATGTCATTAGATGCTTTTGGAAATTTTACACTTTAGCCATTCAAGAGCCTATGTTCCATTTTTAGGAGCCCAAAGCTCATTTTAAAAAAGGATTTATGAAAATAGCTTTGGGCTCCTAAATCATTTAGGTGTTGCAACACTAAGCACGGCAGTGCCTAAATACCTTTTAAAAGATCTAGGCCTTAGTCAAATTGAATGAAAGGCAATGGAACTTAGGCTCCTGAGTGAGTTAGATGCTTTTAAAAAACAGGATTTGAGTACTTTGGAAAATGTTGTCCACAGTGACTAGATCAGAGGTCCCCAACCTGTGGGGTGCGCCCCCCTAGAAGTGTGTGAAGGAATGTTCAGTGGGGCATGGCTGGGGCCTGGGCCAGCCCCCATGGGGGGGCAGGGTGGGAGCACCACGCAGCTCCGCTCCTGGCCCTGGCCGCCGGGGCACCAGAGGCTGGCACCAACCCCCCGGGGGGAGGCTCCGCTCCCACCCCCACCTCTGGCCCTAGCCTTGGCCCCCTTACCCCTGTCTGTGTCCCTCCCTCCCAGAGCTGTGGCCCTGCTCCTGGGCCCGGCTCCAGGGAGCGGGACGGGGGGGTGGGATAAGTAAAAAGTTTGGGGATCCCTGGACTAGATTCTACAAAATCGCTTACAGAAGCTACCTCCCTTCCAAAGAATGGTACTTACCTTGTCTGACAGCTAGTGTAGTGGTGTAGACCAAAAACAGGAGGATGTAATTGAGGAAGCTCTGAAAAACAGGAGTGTTGGCATGGAAATCCTCTGACAAATACTTGCTGGTCAGGCCAATGCCACAGATAAGAAGGGACAAAACCTGGCCAAGAGCCACAGACAGCAAGAGCTCCCTAAAAGAAACAAGAAAAAACACAGACATAAAACACTCAGCCTCTCAGCCATCCAAGAAATTCTTATCCTCCTCCGAGGAGCGTAAATCCAAATGAAAGTGTTAAAACATGGGAAGAAACATGATGGCCTTGATCTGTAATGTACCTGGAGGAGTTGTCTAATAAATATTACCATCTCTTTCCTCAGCATTTACTGAAATACTTACCAAACACACTGGCTTTTGTTCATGTATTATAAAAACCTCTTGATTATGGAAGAATAACTGTGAAATTTCATGCACACAACACAAGGGAAAGATTTGGTGGATATGGGCCCATATGGTCTTAAAACTTCCTCGCCCCTTTCCCCAGGTTTGCTTGTGTGTGTCTCAAAGGAAAGGCCCAGGAGTATAATTTCACATTTGCAATACAATGGAAGTGTATAGCTGTCCCAGTATTTAGTATGTGTCTCTCTGTATACACAACCAAATAGAGAAAAAAACCCATTTTATCATGTTTCTAGATCTACATTTTTATAAAATAAAATGTATGAATGTACTGGCTTCCTTCGTTTGTTCTTTCATCTCATTTCCATTTTGCTTTCATTTCTTTCCTTCTACTGTGTATCTTTTCTTCAATCTTTTTCACCTTCTTGTTTCTCTCCTCCACTCTTTACTTTCCTGTGGATTTTTCCTCTTTGAAAAAATTCTTTTCATCACTTCTTTTTCTCCAAAAAACTTCCTTATCTGAACTGGCCTCTTGTTTCAGTTTATCCTTCCATTCCTCATCCCCACCATTTGACTTTTTCTTCCTCCATATTCCTTCTTTCTTCTGCCTCCCCCGCTCCTGTCCTATACTCCACCCTCTTCCCTCCCCCCTGCCCCGCCATGTTCTCCCTCAGCATCCTCATCAATTTCTCCTTCCTGCCCGTCCAGTCCCGTTTCTTTGTTATCTCTTTGCACCACAGTTCACTTCAACCCAGATAAAGAACATTCAAGTGTTACTTGCTTGTGCTTCCAGCTTTGTTACAGGATATTCTACACATGCAACATGGGCATCATTTTTTGAAAAATGTACCCGTGAGACGAGTTTACTGAGACCATACCCAGACACTATTTTGTCCCTACAGTTGTGCTGATGCCAAGTCTATTCCATGTCTGTGTCCTGCTAGGGGTGGGGGTGGGGTAGAAGCAGGGGGGACAGGCAAGGCAGCACGTCAGTGTGGAACACTGTTCATCTGTGATGAAAATCTTTTTGGTACACCACCATTTCCAAATATTTAAAATCTTTCAATGTTGTTTCCCTGTCCCTGCCATATCTCCCTCAGAGTGACTGAATATTTGGCAGCTGTGAAGAGGTAGGCTACAAAGACCCCTTTCTTAGTAACCTCAGGTGTCAGATTTGTTTCCCCCTTTCTCAAGCAATCCTCCTTCTACTGTGTCTTGGTGCCAGTCATGGTATGAAACAACCAGACAGGCCCAGGGAAGCACAAGCTGTTGTGTAGAACCTTCTCCCCCTTTCCCCTGCCCATCTCCCTCTCCCACACCAAAAAAAACCAAGCAATCTGACAGAGAGAGAACAACCTTCACTGTGCTAGATCCTGCACTCTTCAGGAAGTTTTTGGATTGGTGGAATCTAAGATCATGTGACATTGCACTCCATATGCTTTATGAAAATATGCTTATGAATGTGAGTATGATGTAACTGGAATATGCTTTATGCAAAAGGTGTCTTGTAAGGTATCATTACAAAGCTTATAATCTACTGAGTGTGTTCATCTTATTTGTTTGCATTTATTATTTCTATGTCTGGAGTTAGGAAAATAAGATATAAATTTGTATCACTGATGTAAACATATTAAGTGGAGGCCATGAAGGGTGCTTCAGAAACAATCAGTTATAAATGGCCTTAGTTACTTGAAAGCCTTCCTGTGTATGTGTGGGCCAGCCCATCGGGAATAGAGACTTGGGTCTTACAGTGATATGTGACCATGTCACCTGATAATGAAATCCATCTTAAATCTGGTACTTTTCCATTTAGAAGGAGGGATGGGGACCCAAAGAGACAAAGGATTCCCACCTTGTGCCAAAGCTATAAAAGGGGGTGGAGCAGGACAAAGGAGGCTGTCAGTCATGAGAAAACCCCTTTTTTCCACCTAAGATGTGAGTATGATGCTGGAACTAACAAGGACTATACCAGGGGAAAGAATAGGACCCAGATTAGGAAGAAGTCTAGTCTGTAAAAGAAGCTTATTGGAACATCTCTGAGAGTGAGCTATTACCTGTAATCAGTTTCTTAATGTATATGGGGAAAGCAGTGGATGTGATCTATCATGACTTTAGCAAAGCTTTTGATATGGTCTCCCACTGTATTCTTGCCAGCAAGTTAAAGAAGCATGAACTGGATGAATGGACTATAAGGTGCACAGAAAGTTGGCTAGATTGTTGGGCTAACGGGTAGTGATCAACGGCTCGATGTCTAGTTGGCAGACGGTATCAAGCGGAGTACCCCAGGGGTCGGTCCTGGGGCTGGTTTTGTTCAACATCATTATCAATGATCTGGATGATGGGATGAATTGCACTCTCAGCAAGTTCGCAGATGACACTAAGATGGGGGGAGAGGTAGATAAACGGGAGGGTAGGGATAGGGTCCAGAGTGACCAAGACAAATTGGAGGATTGGGCCAAAAGAAATCTGATGAGGTTCAACAAGGACAAGTGCAGAGTCCTGCACTTAGGAAGGAAGAATCCCATGCACCGCTACAGATTGGGGACTGACTGGCTAAGCAGCAGTTCTGCAGAAAAGGATGTGGGGATTACAGTGAACGAGAAGCTGGATATGAGTCAGCTAGCGTGTGCCCTCATTGCCAAGAAGGCCACCAGCATATTGGGCTATATTAATAGGAGCATGCCAGCAGATCGAGAGAAGTGATTATTCCCTTCTATTTGGTACTGGTAAGGCCACACCTGGAGTATTGTGTCCAGTTTTGGTCCCACCACTACAGAAGGGATGTGGACAAATTGGAGAAAGTCCAGCAGAGGGCAATGAAAATTATTAGGGGGCTGGGGCACAAGACTTACAAGGAGAGGCGGAGGGAACTGTGGTTATTTAGTCTGCAGAAGAGAAGAGTGAGGGGGGATTTGATAGCAGCCTTCAACTACCTGAAGGGGGGTTCCAAAAAGGATGGGGCTAAGCTGTTCTCAGTGGTGGCAGCTGACAGAACAAGAAGCAATGGTCTCAAGCTGCAGTGAGGGAGGTCTAGGTTGGATATTAGGAAACACTATTTCACTAGGAGGGTGGTGAAGCAGTGGAATGATTTACCTAGAGAGGTGGTAGAATCTCCATCCTTACAGGTTTTTAAGGCCTGGCTTGACAAAGCCCTGGTTGGGATGATTTAGTTTAGGGGTGGCCAACCTGAGCCTGAGAAGGAGCCAGAATTTACCAATGTACATTGCCAAAGAGCCACAGTAATACGTCAGCAGCCCCCCATCTGCTCTGCCCCCCCACTCCCAGCACCTCCCGCCCACCGGCAGCCACCGATCTGTGACTCCGCCTCCTTCCCCGCACCTCCTGATCAGCTGTTTTGTGGCGTGCAGGAGGCTCTGGGGGGGAAGGGGAGAGGAATGAGGGCATGGCAGGCTGAGGGGACGGGGCAGAGAGCGGTGGAATGGAGGGGGGCAGCAGGGCTTGTGGTAGAGCCAGAGGTTGAGCAGTGAGCAGCCCCTGGCACATTGGAAAGTTGGCACCTGTAGCTCCAGCCCCGGAGTTGGTGCCTATACAAGGAGCCGCATATTAACTTCTGAAGAGCCGCATATGGCTCCAGAGCCACAGGTTGGCCACCCCTAATTTAGCTGATGTTGGTCAGGGGATTGGTCTAGATGACCTCCTGAGATCTCTTCCAACCTTAAAATTCTATGATTCTAGGCTTAGACTTGCATGTTTTGTTTTATTTTGCTTTGTGACTTACTTTGTTCTGTTATTATTTGAAACCATTTAAATCCTACTTTTATACTTAATAAAATTACTTCTGTTTATTAATAAACCCAGAATAAGTGATTAATGCCTGGGGAGAGCAAACAGCTGTGCATACCTCTCTATCACTGTTATAGAGGGTGGGCAATTTATGAGTTTACCCTGTATAAGCCTTATACATAGTAAAACGGATGTATTTGGGGTTTGGATCCCATTGGGAACTGGGTGTCTGGATGCTGGAGAGGTAACCTGCTGAGCTGTTTTTGGTTAAAGTCTGTAGCTTTGGGGGCGTGGCCCAGACCCTGAGTCTGTGTTGCAGCAGGCTAACATGTCTCGCTCAACAAGGCAGGGTTCTGGAGTCCCAAGCTGGCAGGGAAAACGGGCTCAGAGTTAATTTCAGCACATCAGGTGGCAGTCCCAAGGGGGTCTCTGTGACTGGACCCATCACACATATAACCACTCCTTCCACCCTTACACCTTTCACTCAGATACAAAACACGCCTCTGTGAAATAAAGACATCAACTGGGATGGTGTCACAGGATGGCTGGGCCTTGTAATTAAAAACAGATCCAGCTCCCCTGTTATAGAGCAGGTGCTCACAGTCGAGCCAGTTAAGGGGACAGGGCTGCACCTGGGCTATAGCAGTCAGAGGGAGCACACTGAACACAGATCTACAAGGAACTGTGCAGTAAAGATGCAGGAAGAGAGGGTCTCTGAATAAGGGACTGGGGCTGGTTAAGAAGACCCAGATGGAAGGTATGTTTATCCTTTGGAGAAGGCAGGCCGGGCTTTGGACATTCTCCAGCTGCTTAGACAACAGAAAGAGACAGTGCTTTGGGGGCTTTGCCCAGTTTAAGACTGGGTTGAAGATTTTTTTTTAATTATTATTAATACAAAACTCCACACCCAAGAAGGGCTGTGAGTGGATGAGCAAAACTGCAGGCAGTTCTATTTAAGGAGCCCTGAAGAAGGGAAAACTAAGGCAGACACTGTAGCAGCACTCCTGGCCACGAGAGGGTGCTTGGGCAGTGGCCACCATGTTAAAGATG